TGGCGAACGTTGCTGGCGCTTGGCTTCCCCCGACAATACGGGGTACTGGACCTTGGTACCACGATGAGGTGGCCGGCATCACCAAGGAACATTCGTTGTAAAATGCAAAACTCTGGAGCACCAGAAGAGCGGCCGCAGAAGCGCAGACCTTCGTCAAAAAATCTAAGATTAAACCTTTGTTGTATAAAAGATAGTTGACGTTTTGCATTGCTATATTTTTCCGTGGACACGAGAAAAAAATTAGACCTGTAGCCAAAAAAAATGGCCTTTTGGCTATGATCATTACCTTATTGATTAGAAATTTAATTTGAATCATGCTTTTGCAGGTGAAATTTACAATAGAATTCCTGTAAAGGAAAAAAAATGCGCCATTGTCTTTTCGCCGCCCACGAGGTGTGTGTCGTGTTTGTTTTGCTTTTCCAGACCTGGCTGGCTTTGCTGTTTGAAAGCTCTTTTTTACAGAAGACTCGCTCATCAACGGGATATTTTTCAATTTTTAAAAGCTTCGCGCTTTGGTCGCGACGGGGGCCCCCCGGCTCTCCTGAGCCCGCCCACCCCTTATTCTGCCAGAAAAAATTAGCCAAGAAAAGTGACAATGCTCTTGGTATGGGAAAATTCTGCATATTATAGAGGTTTCTTGAGGCGGTGGTGGGCAGACGCCGGGCAGGTTTTGGGGGGGTTCTTTCGCACAGGCAGCGCCAAAAAACAAAGCAGCATGCTTTTAGTTCGGGGCCCTCAAGCCGCACATTACCAGGCAGCCAGCGTCTAAACATCCAAAAACACTTTTCCCAATGTTTAAGCCCGCTTCGCTAAGGCATCAGGGGGCCACCCCGCTTACGGCATAATGGCTCTGGCCTTCGCGTGGCGACCCGAATGCGAAGGCACCCCTACAGCGGGCACGAAAAGCGCTCCGACACATGCATGCGGCACCCCCCCGGTTTTGCTGGGGCGGTTTGGAAAACCCCCACTGTCTTCCTTAGAAAGGCACCCTTCTCCGGAATGAACAGCTTGGATTTCACGCCCCAAAGTGTTGAGGCGATGGGCTTTTCCGCGTGGCCGTGCCGGGGCGGCGCGCGCGTTGCAAATGCTATGGCTCTTGGAATGGGCCGCGCCCCTCCGACAGCGCGGCGGCACGGCAGCTCGCAGCCTTTGCGGCCACCCGCTCTTCAGCAGTGGCGCCCGCCGTTTTGGAACGTCGACGGTCTTGTCCTATTGCTGTGGGCATCCAACCATGCTGCTAAAGATCCGAGTTGGACCGATGCGTTTTTCAAAACGTCTCGGAAGTTGGGGGGCCAAATCGTGTTCTTCCGCTGCCGCTGTTGCGTGCCCTGGGGTCCTTCTTATGGCCAAACGCGCAGTCATTCCACAGGGTCCCAGAATGTTTTTCGCATCTTTTGCAGTGGTTTCAATTAATATTTGGTTTTCTATTCGTTTTTCTAGCAACTACAGGCGAGCGATCTGCACTTACCCTGGATTGTGGCCTAGCGCTGCTGTGCGCAGGTTGCTCATGGATGCCGTTTGGAATGGTTCCCAATCCACGATTATGGCAAACTGCTTTGGGAATGTGGGGAGATATTGGAGCTGTGCAATTCCCTCCCATCCACTGAAGTGTACCCCAGCCAGCTGCAGTGCCAGACGGTCTCGTTGGATTCAAACTCTCTCACTGAGACGAAGTATGAAGACAAAAGAGAAAGGTGTATTTGTCTGCTCTGTACTGCGATGCTTTTCGCAAGCCATACACGTACCATCTATAGGGGAGTGGCTTTCTTTCCATCGCACTTGTTTTTTTTTTGCTTTGTAAACTTGTAGAATACGCTTATTGGATGTCACCTTTGTTCAATTTTTAGGTTAGCCCACTTAAGCGTTACAATGCGGTTGGCATCGGTCGCCAGTGCCACGGTGTACGGCTCGGGCGTTGGAGCAGAGATAATAGTGACATCACCCGCCGATACCAACACTTAGGGAAGGCCACCTTTTGCGCTTACCGCCACACCCAGGAAAGCAGCCGAGTCTGTTATGAATATGCGCACCTCCGGCTTCTGGATAAGATGCTTTTGGCACTTAGAGCAGTTAGAGCATGCCGAAAAAACCAGTACGGCCACGATTGTGTGGCCCTATGCCCGCGGGCCATTTGGCTGCGCGTTGGTCAATGAAGAATGACTTCGAAAATAGTTGATTCTGGGGCTGGTTATCTCTTCTGGCAAACAATTTCCCTTTCTTCAGATTCACTCTGCCCGTCATGCTGTAGTGCCTGGCCCGGCAACGTGGGTAGAAGCGTGTATTCCCCTGTGGGATGGTAGGCCCCCAGTTCACAGACTTAAGAATCGCCTCCAAAAAACGTCGTTTTTTTTTTTCGGGGCTCACCGATGACCTCCCAGGCATCCCAAAGCTGAACGCCAGTGTGGCCGTTACCCTTCAGATGGCGCACGGCTGTGTATAGAGTTCCTCCGGGCGGCCCCTGTTCCCCAAAGCTTCTTTTAACCCCCGGGCGTCCCCGAATCCAATTCCAGGAAGGTTGTCTTGTGAAACATCTTGCGCGACCTTTTTACACAGAAATACATTTATTGTATCTTTTTTTGTGTGTGGATCTTTCGTTCCGCTTGCCTTTGGGATGTCTGGTGTCTTGCTCCCCTTCTTGGCGGCGACCTGCGGCCGAGCAATCTTGGGTTGCAAACAGTTTAGTTTTAATCGGAAATTGTATCCCCCGATGGCCTTCATTTCGACGATTTTTTGGTCGGGAAGCTCCTGTATTTTTGCAAGGTGGCGTCTCAACCATTAAAATGTAAGGAGTCTATTCCATGATATCGCGGAAATGCGTCACCGCGGCACCAAGGTACAGTACCAAGTTCATTACTTGGGAAGCTAAATTTTCACAGCTGCAGCACCGAATCCGGCTTTGTTCGGGCTGCGCCACGATACGGCCGCTGCTTATTGGTTGGCGTAGTTAAGTGCCGTGCAAATAAGGCACATTTTGTAATGGGTAAAGTGCCTTAACGGAGAGACTGCAGGGAAAATACACGCGACCAATCAATAAGTTTCACGGTCGATTACCTGATCTATCGGACGGGGAATCCAATGCCATACGCCATAGTTCTCCCAGGAACTGCATCATGGCCCGGATGGAATACGGCCTGGCTCTCCAGGGATCAAGCGGAGGGCGCAACCGGAGACCGCTCCTTTGGACACCGTGCTGCTGGTGTCGCCCACGTCCGTCGGTTTAAACATACCCATTATCAGGGCGTTTTAGTGGGTATGGGTGGGTTTCTCCACCACCGAGTCCCACATCATCTGCCCTGCTAGGGCAGATGTGCGCAAATGCATTTCCTCCTTCCTCCTTCGGGCAGCGACAACATGTCGTAAAATTGAACAAAAAAGAGAAAAAAGGAGTGTATTTTGCTCCATCCAAAAACTTTGTCTGCAAGGTGAGCGGAAGTTGAATTAGACTGTTGATTTTGAAGCAATCCCGACTCTTTTAAGGTCGCTTGGTGAGTGCAAAACCTGAAGTATGCTTTATAGAAAGCTCTGCGCAAACCTTGGTTTCCTGGAGCAACAATAGCGTCCAAAGAGTGGTGCAAGAAAGCTTGATTCTTTGTGTGTGGCTCATCGATGTGCGTCGTGGGGCCCATTTTTCCCCAGGGGAAAAACAACTTGCGTGAAAAACTAAGTGGGGGCTATGTCCCCATTCAAAATCACAGAAAAAAAACCGTTAGACCATTATTTTCCATGAAATATGCGAATGCCCTTCCATCATTTTTCTATTCGGCGTCAGAAAAACACAACAATGCTGTTGATAAAAAACTTGTAAACTATTTTTGGAGCCTGCGAAAGGAATGGTCAAGCCGCACCTATTTTTTATGTAAGCCGAACGCCTACCATATTTTTTGCTTGATTGATTTCTTATTATGACCCAGAGTTTCGAAAGAATAGTCTATACCTTACCTTCCCCTCTTAAGTAAGAGAGCGAGGGGGAGAGAGAGAGAGAGAGAGTAAGCGAGACCTTTTGTCTAGATTCCATTTCGAAACTCCTTTTCCCTGGTACACATAGAAAGGGGGACATCCAGTAACCTCAAGGCCTTCTCCTTATAAGGAAGTGAAAGCTTGTAGTCCCACTG